GACCCCACCGGCTCAGGCAATCCACTCACCTCAGCCTCCCAAAGCGCGGGATGACAGGCTGAGCCACCGAGCCTGGCTGCTGCTGGCTGTCTTAAACCACGGGGTGACAGGCATCGATCCATGGCGTCGCCACAGTCAGGACCTCTTGTCCTCCCAGCCTCGCCCCCCCTCAGCCCTCTGCTGCCAAGCTCCCCTGCCCCACCCCCACGCCTCCCGGCCCCAGCAGCTTGCTGACCCACCATCTGCTGAGGGCCTGGGTGTTTCCACCCTAAGCCAAAATAAAAATGCTGAACCCCAACCGACTGGACCCCTCTGAGCCAAGGGAAGCCTGGAAACTAAATCCCAGGCCACGCTGGGAAAGGACGTCCGACTCCTTATGCCCCTCCCTTGCGGAATTCAGGTCCAAGTGACCAGCATCAACCAAAAACTGGGGCCATAAGACCGACGGGCAGACTGGCCATAGACCCAAAGTCCAGCATCACCTGGCAGGCAGCAGGTCTCAACGGAAAGCCAAGCATTTCGCCCCAAAACACGTTTTCGTGACTTTTTTTTTTTGAGTTGGAGTCTCACTCTGTTGCCCAGACTGGAGTGCAGTGGCCGCTCCAGGCCACCGCAGCCTCGACTGCTGGGCTCCAGTGATCCTTCCGCCTCAGCCTTCCGAGTAGCTGGAACTACAGGCGCGCGCAACCACGCCCAGCTCATTTTGATTTATTGTAGAGATGAGGTCTCACCAAGTTGCCCAGGCGGGTCTTGAACCCGCGGGCTCAGGCAGTCCACTCACCTCAGCCTCCCAAAGGCGCAAGATTCCAGGCTGAGCCACTGAGCCTGGCTATCTGTGACATATTTTGAAGTGACCCTGACCAGCTGACTCTTGGGGAATTTGCATCTGTGAGAATCTCCTTTCCTGTCACCTGGATGTCGAGAACCTTGGCTTCAAACCCTGCCCCAAGTGTCCCTTTCTGCTGATTTCTGTTTCAGCCAGCCGCCACTCGGAGACTCTCTGAATCCACCTCTGATCCATGAGCCCCCGCCTGGAAATGTCCTGCCTTTCTGGCCCAACGTGTGAACCTCACATGTGCTTCCCTATGGGGTTTTTGCTTGTAACTTGCGTCTCCATAAAGGTATATAGCCGAGCTGTAATTCAACCACCTTGGGCACGTGCTCTCAGGCCCTCTTGGGCTTGTGCCATGGGCCTTGGCCACTCCACTCATCTTTGGCTCAGAATAAAGCTCTTCAAATATTTTACAGAATTTGCCTTTTTCATCACACCACGCTTGGCCGCGTAGAGGTGTAGGAACATTTAGGGGCGAATGCCAGGGGCACACCAGGAGGCGTCCCTGGTTTGTGTGGGGAGGTGGCATGTGACTTGATTCTGGCACGAGGGACCCAACTGTCTGCACCCCACCCGCATCTGACATCACAGATTTTTAATTCTCGCCCGTCTGAGTGTGAGGTCTCCACAGCAGCACACTGTGCGTTCAAGCTGCATTTCCCGATGCCGGGTGATGCTGACGACCAAGACAAGGGGCTGAGGCAGGCACCCCGATCGATCGGGTTTTATTGAGCCAGCTTGAGGGCACACCCAGGAAAATGTGAGTCACAGCTGCAGCTGTGGCTGTTTTTCCAACAAAGTTCTTGGGAGGCTTGGCATGCACTTGTGTTTCCCAGGGGGCGGGGGCTGCAGCGAGATAAACGGCTACACACTTGAGAGATTTCGTTCGTGTCCAGTCAGCCTTCACTTGACGCGAGATGAGGCGAACCCTCGAAGAAGGAAGTGGAGGACGCAGACATCTCAGGGAAGAGCGAGGGAATGATTGCTCGCGCCTCTGCTCTCTACCGGGAAGACAAGCCCACATCAACGAGCTCGAGGGGGCTGGCTTCTGTTGAATTCTCAGGAAGGAAAGCTGGTCATTGAGGAAGCGAGCAGCTGAGGGTTGTCCAGCCTCCATTGCCGTCACGGCTGGGAACTCAGCTTCCAAGGTTTTTTCTAGAGGACAGGGGATCTGCTCGATCCGCGGGGGGCTAAGAGATTTTTTGTTTTTTTGTTTTGTTTTGCTTGAGTCGGGGTCTCACTCCGTCACCCGGGCTGGTGTGCAGGGGCACGCTCACAGCTATTGCAGCCTGGTCCTGCTGGGCTCAGGCAGTCCTTCCCCGTCAGCCTTCCAAGTAGCTGGAACCGCAGGTGCGTGCCACCACACCTGGCTAGTTTTTTTATTTTTAGTGTACAGATGAGGTCTCATCACATTGCTGAGACTGGTCTCAAATCCCTTAGCTCAGGCAATCCTCTTGCCTCAGCTCCCACAGTGTTGGGATTACAGGCTGAGCCACCGCTTCCACTCTAGAGTTTTATTTTTATTTCTCAATGTCGAGCATCTTTCCATGCACTTCTTTGGCATACCTTTATCATAACTCTTTGGTTAAGTGCCACCTCTTTTTCATTTAAAACTAGGCTTGTCTGTTTCAATGTTTAGAGAATTCTTTGTATATTCTATATACGAGTCCTTTCTCGTGTATGTGGCTTGCAAATATTTTCTTCCAGTCTGTAGCTTATCTTTTCATTAACAGCGTGTGTCACAGAGCAAATAATAAAATTTCTGATAAAATCTGATTACTCGATCTGATCTTTTATGAATTATGTTTTTCATGTCATTACTAAGAACTCTGCCTAACCCTGGGTCATGAAGGTTTCCTTTTCCTAAAAGTTTTGTAGCTTTATGTTGTATATTTAGATCTATGATCCATTTTGAATCAATCTTTGTATAAGATGGGACATTTAGGATAACATCCATTTTCTTTGCCTTTGAATGACCAATTGTTCCAATACCATTTGTTGAAAAGACCATCCTAGCCGGGCTCAGTGGCTCAGCCTGTAATCCCGCGCCTTTGGGAGGCTGAGGTGAGTGGATTG